CCATGAGGAAGGTGACTGGAACCCAGGGTCTCCCTTTTTCTCTGAGGACTAATATTTTATGGACTACACTTTGGGAAATGTCAAATGATTTAATGATCTAATGATAAGATAGCTAACATTTATCAAGAGATTATGTCATAATATGTAACAGTGAGCCAAATGCATGACACATGTGATCTCATTTAATCCTCTCAAGAACCAAAGGTGGAAAGTTACACTTCACACTTGAGGAAACTGAGGCTGGAGGTTAAATAAGATGCCCCAAGTTTTCCAGAATAAAATGACTACTGCAGGACCCAAGCCCAGGGATTTGATTCCAAAGCTGAGCCTTTTAACTTTGCTCTTGTGTTTACTGATTCTTTAAAACATGCTCACTTGAATTTTACACCCACTTCATGCTCAGGAGGGCCAAGTATGGTAATCATGCTCATTTTACAGGTAGGGAAACTGAGGTGGAGGGGAGAGGTGAGCTGCTCAAGGACAGACTGTAGGCAGGGCCCATGGGCACAGGCCCTACCGAGGGCAGAACTGAACTCAGACTGAAATCAGAGCATGTCTTCGGGCAGGTTCGTGTCAACATGAGAAAGAGCGGCCAACAATGATCAAAGGGGCTCTGCGAGAAGATGCCTTGCCAAAGTCGCGTTGGAACCTGGGTAAAGGAAGGTAATACAGTGCGAAGAGTCTTGGACCAAATGCTGAGTTTGGACTTTCATTTCCGCTCCACATGGGCCAGTTAGGTGACCTTGGGTAAGTCCCTGCGGGACACTGTCTACTCAAGCCCAAACTGTGTTTGGTGAATCCTAACTTCTCTACCTTGTAGACTAACTGCCATTCAATAAGAGTATGGGACCGCAGGTCCTTTGTGAACTGTAACGAGCTGAGGGCAAAATCGGAGGCTGCTCACCGGGAGACCTGCACGCGGGAGGGCACTGCAGTGAAATTTCATCCTCCTCTCTGCTTGGCCTTGCCCTGGTCAGCGGCCCTCTGCCCAGGGGACTGAAGGCCAGCTGACAATGAGGTCTTTGTGCCCTTCAGCCAATGGGAGGTCCCCTGGAGGAAGATACAGTAACAAGACGACAGGCTGAGTCAGTCTCCAGGCCCCGGCCTCCTTAGCTTGGCAGCTTCAACTTTGGGCCAGACACACAAAGGGTGCATTTCAGAGTTTTGATACTTAATCTTCAGCCCAAAGAGACCAGCCAGTCCAGGCCCTGCCTCCACTGGCGAGGGGCAGCCTGAGCTGGAGTTGGGAGACCAGGGCTCCAGGCCTCCCCGTCCACACTGTGACCTTGGGCTCTAAGGTCCTCAGTTTCCCCGGCCACACAGAGAAGGTATAGAATTGGGCAGAGCCTCAGGATCCTATCAGCTCCGAGCTTTGAGAGAAGAGAAATTCAGCCTGAGCTTGAAGGATGGGCAGGGTTGGAGCCGATGGGGAAGGAGGCAGCCTCACCAGGGGCAGAGGCCTGTCCAGGAAGTGATGGGGGTGGGGGGAGGGGTCTACAGTTGAGCTACTTGTGTGGATTCCTGGCTTCACCACTCTGGGACTTGGAGCAAGTTATTTAGCTCTCTGAGCCTCTGTATTCTCACCTTTAAAATGGGAATGGGAATTGTACTACCTATGGTAGACAAAAAAAATGACCCCCCAAAGATGTTCACGTCCTAATCCCCATAACTATAAATATGCTACCTTACACGACCTTGCAGATTAAGCTCAGGATTTTGAGATGGGAAGATTCTCCTAGATTATTGGGGTGGGCCCAATGTAACCACAAGGGCATAAGAGGGAGGAAGAGGGTCAAGGGACCAAGGAAAGGTGGTGACTGGAAGCAGAGGTTTAGAGTCATGTGCTCAGAAGATGGAGGGTGACGCCCCGAGCCATGGAATACGGGTGGCCTCTAGAAGCCAAAATGACAAGGAAACAGATTCTTCCCTTGAGTCTCCAGAAGGAACACAGCCCTGCCCACACCTTCATTTTAGGACTCCTGACCTCCCGAACCAAGTAATAAATGTATATTTTAAGTCACCAAGTTTGTGGTAATTTATTATAGCCATAATGGAAAACGATCATGCTAAGTGTGTATACTGAACAAAGATTCATTGAGATAATGGATGTAACGTGTTTTGTCCAGTGTCTCCCCAGTAATATTGGATATTATCTCTCTTCCCAGCTTAGTCATCATTGTTTCTACAGGCCATCAAGTTCCCACATGCAAAACATGTTAAGCGTTTTACCTGCAAGGCCCACTCAGGATTTATGGCCTGGAGAGCTCCTGACACTGTTTCTAATGTATGGCCTTAGGGGATGTTCCTGGCAAGCTTTTATTTATTTAACTTTTTGCTTGGTTGCTTTCCTTTTTGCCAGGAGCCAAATCAACAGCCTCCCTGGTCTCTTCCCAAAATCAGACCTCTCGCTCCGTGCCCAGGTACTCCTGCTCCTACTTAGAAACACTGGTTGCTCACCTGGCTCCAGCCCAGCTCCCAGAGATGGTCCATCAGGTGGTTCCGGGGACAGACTCCCGTTACGAGCAGAAAGACAGGCATGTTCTCAGGGGGGTTGAGAATCTGCCTTAGTCAGGGGTAAGGAGACCTGGTTTTGAGTTCCAGCTCTACTGGTTGATTGGGGCCTCGGTTTCCCCATATCTACAATGTAGGTTCTACGCCCCACCCTGACTCCCTCATAGGACTGCTCTGTCATTCACTGAGACAGTACACGAGGAAGTACTTTGGAATGGCCAAAAGGGTGCAAAAAATGGTAGGAATAAAGATGACGGAGAAATCCGGCCAGTATGGCTCCGTGGTTGAGTGTTGACCCATGCACCAAGAGGTCCCGGTTCAATTCCTGGTCAGGGCATATGTCCAGGTTGTGGGCCAGATCTCCAGTGGGGGGCATGCAGGAGGCGGCCAATCGATATTCTCTCTCATCAGTGTTTCTTTCTCTCTCCCTCTCCCTTCTTCTCTCTCTCTCTCTCTCTCAACTTAATAAAGAAAAAAAAATTAAGGAGGAAAAACAGGAGTCATTTCCCTAGGTCAAAGTCATCCATGCCTCAGAGGCTCCTGTTCCCCCAGGGTGCGCTTACCCCTAGATAGAAAACCTTCCAAGTTTTCCTCCAAGGGGTCCTGGCCCAGGTGTTCCCACAGGGGCCTGAGAGTGGTCCCCAGATGGGATCCCTGTCCCAGGGCGTTAGCTTAGCCCCAACCAGCTTTCCTATTCCTGAACTCCAGCCAAACACGAGGAACAGTTCCGTCAGCTCATTTGCATCAGAATCATGATCTTAGTTGATGAAGAAAACATAAAGTTTAAGTTAATTTTAGTCCCCGTGATGCCTGGGCGCTATAGCAACCAAGCCTATAAAAATATGGATCTGTCCAGATGGCAAAACAGATCCTTGAGGAGGCTGCAGCCCGCTGCATGGAACGGCCGAGGCAGAGCATCAGCCCTGGCTGTTGGACCAGGGAGAGGCCTTGGTGGCCACTGGAGCAGATCCTTTCTTGGTTTCCTGACTGGTTCCTTTGAGAACCTGGAAAAAGCCAGGGACCTTCTCTGCAGAAAAACGCACAGACGCCCAAACTTTTACATCCAATCTTGGTAGGTTTGAGGATCCCTTGAAGACCAGTATTCAGCACCTTTCCAGGCTAGAGCCCTATTAGAAAACAATGTCCTCATTGACTGGGAGTCAATTTTGTGGTGGCCACTTTTCTAGACACTGGAACTCTGCAGCGAGCAAGACACGTGAAGTCCCTGCTCTCACGGAGCTTCTGACTAGTGGGGGAGACACATAGGTTCTCATCATGACAAGAGCCGAGGAAGGGAAGAAAACGGTGTAAGGTGATGGATGATGCTGGTGAGAGAGGTAACGAGACTGTTTTAATTTGGGTGATCAGGAAGGCCCTCTCTTAGGAGATGACATTAGGACAGAGGCCTGAAGGATGAGAAAACTGTAGGCACAGGAAAATCAGATGGAAGAATGTTCCTGCCAGAGGAAGAGCAAGTGCAAAGGTCCTGGGGTGGGAATAACATTGAGGGAAAAGGAAGCCAGTGTGACTGAAGCAGATTTAGCAAGGAGAACGAAGAGGCGAGGATGGCAAGGGAGGCAGGGGCCACACCATGCAGACCTTTGTAAGAATGTTCTCCGCCTTCTCCCTTTCCGTGTTATTCCAACCCAATCCATGCTTCAAGATCTACCTCTTCTAGGAGGCCGCCTCTGCCTGCTCCAACCTGGCATCTCTACCACTCTGAGCCGCTGGGATAAACCTCAGGGCCTGCCCCACATGAGTACCCACAGGGCATATTCTCTCAGCAAGAGCCAAAGTTTCCTGAGGGCAAGGACCAGAAACTAATTCTTGTTCCTCTCAGAGTGTTAGGCATGTAGGAAATATCCAACCAAGACTTCCTGCACTGAGAACTTCATGTAGCATCACTATGAATCCAGGGGAAGGTAGAATCAGCCTGCCAGGTGGTCTCGGGCAAGTGACTTCTCCTCTTTGAGCCTCTGTTTCCTTATCAGTAGAATAGGCATAGTAATAATACCGAAGTCAAGATTATGTGAAGATTATGAAGTCCTCAGTAAAGCTTGGCTACTGCTACTTCCATGACATTACCGACATCATCAATCGCCGTACCTGTTCTGTACTGATGACATGGATCCCCTGCTAGAAAGCTAATCTCTTATGTGTCTGTTAGCGGTGCAACTCGAGTTACAGTGGTTATTTTTAGGCCATGTACCAAATCATCAGTGATGCCACCACCAGTGGCAGCTTCTCTTGCCTGTACTGAGGCAAGTCTTGGCCTCGCCTTTGTCACAGATACATGGCCGGCCTTTCCATCGCTTTGCCCTTCTCAGTGTTGCCCAGTGTTGGGCTCCTGTCAAGATCGCTGTCAGAAAGTGAAGACGCAGGCCTGGCTCTGCCCCTGGGGGCTGTTGGGTAATCCTTTACCCCCGCCCCCCAGGCCTCAGCTCACCCTTGAACAAGGGGGAGGCTGTCTAGGTGATTCCTGCAGCCCTTCCAGCCCTGGCACCCCGTGAGTCTCTTTAGGCAGCAGCCCCAGAACCCACGAGGCAGGCGGGGTTGGGGAGTCTGGTCAGGACAGCCCACCACAAGGAGAAGTAGAGAAATGGAAGACAGAGACAGCTTTGGCTGGGGGGTGGGGGGCAGGGGCGGGAGGAAGGAGGAGACAGAGGAGGAGGAGGGACCTCCCCAGCCCAGAGCTCTGAGTGGTTTCCTGTTGCCGGGCTCTAAACCCCTCCACATTCCTGCAGACCTTCAGACTGCCAGAGCGCACCGCTGCCTGCTGCCTGCCGCCGCTGAGGTACGCACCCTGCCCTGCCTTTCCTCCTCCATCTGCTCCCCAGTCCACTCCGCCAGTGCGTGCACGAGGGAGGGGAAGCTGTGCTGGGAGGGCTGGGGTCTGGGAGGGGGTACGCACCTCCTCTGGGCTCTGTCACGGCTCCCCTGAGGGCAGGGGCCAGGGACTCCCTGCCTGTTGCTTTCCAGGTGCAATCCCCGTGTAACTTCTAGGTTTGCAGAAAAGAATCTCCCTGCGTCTTGGAGGGAGCCTTCTCTCTGTGTCTGTCTCTGGTTTCAGAGGCTGCCTGCCTGTCTTCTGCTCCCTTTGCAAATGTGGCAGCCCCCTCCTTCCCTGGGAATCTGATCTGGTCACAGCTGCACCGGGGACCTGCCAGCAGCCAGTGTCTGCTCTGCTCCCCATTCCGGGAGACGAAGCTTCCTGGACCTAGGTCTTGGTCAGGGGCTGTTTTCCAAAAGGGACTCTGTATGAATGATAAAACTAATCTCCCGAAGGCTAAGGGGGGAGGAGGGTCTTTACCTTAGCGCCTCCTGGAAGGCCCGTTTCCCTTGAATTCTCCCTTATCGACATCCCCACCCCCAAACACACACTGATTCCAGAGGCACCAGTCTGTCTTGGGTTAGGCATTGTGCCTACCCTGGGCTCCCTGGGGTGGAAACACAGGAACTCACTAGCAGTAACCCGAGTGTGTCTAGATCTGAAGACCTCAGGCATCTGATAGTGTCCATCCAGGGCGCTGAGTCCTCTGGGAGGCTGGGGTGCTGGGGGATGTGCTGAGGAGGGGGAAGGGAAAAGGCCAGACAGGGAAGGTTCCAGGGCAACTTTTTCACACCTCCTTGTTTTGGGAAGTCCAAACCCTATACAGGACTGGTGCTTAGCCTTTTAGGGTGTTAGGTCTCCCGTCTTTACCCTGCTGGCTCCCTTGGCTGGTTGAGGAGTGGGCTTCCTGAGCCCTGAAGGACACCAAGCCAAAGGGCACTGGGGTGAGGCATGGTCTTCCCGGGCGCCCAGTCCGCCCCGCAGCTGCACATTGTCCCCCGGCAAGGACAGCACTCTGTGCAGGACACACAGAGAAAATGTTTTTGCCAGCAATACTCTCGGGTTAAAGGTCTATACACCCCAAGTGCTGATGGTAGCGTGAGAAGCAAATTGGAAGCAGAATGGCAGACTTTAGGCACACGTTTTATGTGTGGTCTTAGGTAAGGGTTGCCCCTGGACTTAGTTTCCCTGTCTGTAACGTAAGGGATGGACTTGGTGGGCTGCGGGGCCCCTGATGTTCTCTGAAACTTTCAAAGGTAGATCTCTTAAACAGGATCCACAGACCAGCCTTTGAATGGGCTTTAAGGCATCTGCAAGCCCCTTAAAATCGTGTGTACAGCAGAATGTGTGTGTGTGTGTGTGTGTGTGTGCGTTACAGAGAAAGAAAGAGAAAGAGACAGCACAAGAGTGTGTTCACAGCCTTCAGTCTTACAATATTCTCAAATGGATGCACAACCCCCAAAATAGCCAGGGGCATGGTGTGGAGCCTACGTGGATGGGGCCTCGGAGCTGGTGTGTATTTGCAGGAGGATGAAAGATTCTGAAACAGACGTGGTTGGGGGAAGAGAGAGTTAACTCACAGCCATCAGCTGCCACATCGACAAAGCCTGGGGCAGGGAGGGGGGTGGGAGGGGGGCTGGAGAAGGAATCAACTTTTGAAACTTTCTCCAAGTCCCACCCACCGAAAGGCTCTTCTTTGCTGTGACTCACTCTGGGAGGAATGCGAGTTGCCACGGTAACCTTTTTTTCAGGGTCTCTGCCTGCTGGCTGGGAGGGGATGCTGGGAACACCCGAGTACATCAGGCTCAGTCTGAAAGCCTCCCTCTCTCACTGTGTCCCCCAATACTAACAGAGCAGACTGTAGGCCCTGCCTGCGGATCTCCCAGGATCCCAGGGCGGCAGCGGGGCTGTGATAAGCTTCCCAGACAGGGCATGAAAAATCGGAGTTTTCCTTCCACCTTTGCCCTGAAGATGCCATTTGACCTTGAACTAATAGCTTCTCCTTTCTGAGCCCAGTTTCCTCCTTGGTTAAAAAGCAGTAACAGCAGCCACCTGAAAGGGATAAGCACAGGGACGCACATGCTAAAATGTGACCTGCCACCTAAGCGTGGCTTTTGAGAACTAATGGATATAAATTTATGGCTTTCTAAGAGTTGGTGAGATCATTCCCAGCTCTTTTCTTTGGCATCTCCATCATCTTGGGGGTTGTATATAACTTCCTTTTACTAAAAGTGCTAACAGGTTAAAAATATATTGTTGAGATTCATTTTGACCTGGGCCCCCTCTTGAGTATTTCCCGAGAGCGTTGTACCCTCCAGGGTTGACAGAGCACTGTCAAGGCACCGGCAGAGCTGGGTCCTAACTCACAGTGAGCGACACTGGGGAAGACCCTTCGCTCTCCTGGACACAGTTTCCCAATCTGTCAAAGGGGGACTCTCACCCAGGTGGTCTCCAGTGGCCCTTCCTGCTCTGAAGTCCTGCAAACCTAAATCCCAGATGCTGCCGTCATTAGAAGGAACAGCTGGCCTACATTTTTAACACCCCCTGTTCCCATAGTTGAAAAAGAAACGAGAGGAGGGGCCGTCGGATCCTGGGTCGCTAGCAGTCCTGATAAAGTCCTTACCCATCTGTAGAGACTTGTCAGCCAGCAGTATGGCTGGGGTGTGCTATTCACAAGAGTAGCTTTTCTTGCTGGAAATAAGCTATAAATAGGAAAGGACAATGAAGGAAAGAGCTGAGGATGTGACGTACACAGGAGAACGGTTGTTTGGGGGTGCTATTTAGATAGCTAAGTGTGCAGAGATAAACAGGGACAGACACGAAGCCACGAGGATGCGGAGTAGACACACTGATTTCACCAATAGGCACCCCACTGGCACAGCTCAAAATAAACGCCTCGATCAACCCCTGAGCAGAGGTCACACACTCACATACCCGATACCTTGACTCACGGACAAGTTCCAGGCACACATCTTGATGCATGTGCTGAGCTGACCCTCCTGTACAGGCCAAAACAGACGGATGCCGAGTCAGGTGGACACACACAGGCACACAGACACAGCTTCACACAGAAGTTCCCCAGTCCATGGGTAACACACAGACGCCAGGCATGCAGACAGCTGCCAGTTGCGGCCACATACAGTTGTGCAGAGCTGGAGGTCATGATGGAAAGATAAACAGTTAGATGCATGCACACAGCACCAGAGCACCATTACAGTCTACAGAGAAACCGGAAAATCACTCACTCATTCAAGGTCACACAGCAAACTGACGTCTGAGCCAAACTTCCAGATGTTTGGAAATATCCAGATGTTCACCATGCTTTTTTGGTTGTTGTTTTTCATCTGATCAGTTTGTTATCATGACTACATTCGTCCCTTTATAGGCAACAAGCCCCATGGATCATGAACAGTGAGCAGTGCTTGCTCTCCTTTGCTGACCGGCAATGACCTATGCCATATGCCAGCCCACACGGCTTTGTCATGGGGCAGCATGACGATGTGGCAAATAGGCTACTGCCCATTTGCTTCCTGCTGACTCCCTCCCTAACCTGTCTTTGAAAAAAAATTTTTTTTTCTTTATTGGTTTTCAAGAGGAAGGGAAAGGGAGAGACAGAAACATCGATGAGAGAGAACATCAATTGGCTGCCTCCTGCATGCCTTCCACTGGGGATCAGGCCCACAACCTGGGCATGTGCCCCAACCGGGAATCGAACCGGTGACCTCTTGGTGCATGGGTCGATGCTCAGCCACTGAGCCACACCGGCCGTACTAACCTCTGTCTTTAAGGAAGGCCGGAGCTGAGTTTTCAGCTGACCTTGCGGATTAATGAAGCTACCTTTTCTCTGCAGCATCGGGCCTGCCTCCTAACCCCAACCCTGAGCGCAGGGACTGCTGGGCACGCCAGAGTCAGCATGCAGTGACTTGACAAATAACTTAGAAAAACAGCCTCCTCCTCATGCAAGAGATGTCTCAGACAGGAAATGAGCTCTGCTCTCACTCCTCAAGTCATAGAGCTGGATGGCGGTAGGGAAAACATGGATAGAGACACCAGTTCTCTCCGGAGCTGGGTTCTTTAGAAGCTCAGCATTAACTTATCTCATCAGGGGATCCGTCTGAGTCATCTTGTGTTAGCTGCGGCATTAGGATTCCAGATTGCTCAGATGAAAAAAGAAAATAAAACAAGGTTAACATCTGGAAGTTTAGTTCAGCCGTCTACTTGCTGGATGACCTTGATGGAGTTGTTTCCCCTCTCTGATCCTCAATTTCTCTGGTTCTAAAATCAGAAGCATGGCAAAGAGGTTTCATGTGGCTTGTGAAATTCACATCCCATTGGTAGCAGCTGCCAGGAGAACCATTCAGGATGCAGATGCCACTCTGGATTTCAGGAAAAAAGGTCGTGTGATTGATTAGTAATGTCTGCCACATGTGCAGAGGGAGCAGGTGGAGGCATGTATGCCACGTATTTGCCAGCTTTGGGACTGGACACTGGATGTTATTTTTCATACCCTCCATTTGTGGTCACAAGGATACAGCGGTGGCCACTAGGGGGAGCCAAGGAGGAGAGCCCAAAGCTCCACCCCTGGGCCTCTCCCAGCCACCGTGAAACGTGGCATCTTAGATTCCTTCAGAATCTAAGTGAGACTCATCTCTAGTCTCAAACTCCAGGGCTACCTCTGAGTTGTCCCAGAACCTCTTCAATCCTAGGCTCGAGCACCCATATCACCATAAAACTCTCCCTTGGTTTCTTCCCTTCCAGCAAGAAATATTAGGCGTGGAAGAGAAGAGTCAAGGGGCAGGTTGGGAGAGGCGATACTGTGAAAGGCAGCTGTCTGAGTTGACTCAGAACGTCAGGAACCTCAGGGACCACCTTGCCCCAGGGTTTCCAAATTGTGCCCACAGGCACCCAGAGATGTTCTGACATCTCAGGGAGTGTCTGAGTGTGCAGGACTTCCTGCCCTATCT